TTACAGCACATGCTCTGTTTCATGTTATGGACCGACACCTTTTTTTAGCAGTCACTTAACGTTCTCCAGCTCGGCAGATGTGGGGTTGACTAGAATCTAGTGCCTGATCTTTCTTTTGGGAAGGGGTGGGAGTGAATGTTTTGAGAATGGGAGGGAAGCTGGAGAAGAAAACAGGAGTGTGAGTGAGTGTGCATGTGTTGGAAATTCACCATCACCCATCTGTGTCTAGCAAAGGGCAGGTGTTCTATGTATTTTTCTCATGACCGCAGTGTGCATGTATTTTTTTTCCTCCCTCGTGTTTTCTAAACTTACACTAAAAAGATTCATCAAATCATCTTCTTCAGATGGCTCAGGATTGTATTTCTTTTGCTTTCCCTGTGCTCTTGGGTTCTATAGTATTTCTATAATTATGTAAGAAGAATAGTGTTGCACTGTAATCTATCATATAGAGCTATATGTATGGAAAATTTTGATCAGTTTTTTAAGAGATGTATCCTGTTTGCAAAGGCACAATAAAGTTGCATCTTATAGACTATAGGCAATAAAGCTAACAATAAACCTTATTTAACACAAACCATAGTCTACTCTCTGTTCATTTGATTTTGGACAAAGTGTAGCATATCCAGTAGTTTCAGGGATTTCATTTTTAACTTAAACAATTCTGATATATTTAATTTATAAGTTTCGGACTGATATAATAAGAGTTTTGGAAAACTAAATGCTTTGTTAATGTGTGTATTCCTATGTAAAACACATGGCTTCTCCTGTGTATATTTTTAAAAATTAAATGTACCTTTAAAAAGTATTTTGTGGAACCAGTCTGTGTAAACGTCCCAGGTGACAGGTATCGGGGAGGAGTAGGGAGGTGCCAGCTGTGAGAAAGCCGGTCACTGTCTGCATGTGCTAAGGGTCTGCATGAATGGGAAGAATTTAAGAAAGCGTCTCTGCCACCATTTCACCACATGCTGTGCCATCAGCACTGTGAGAAGAGCTGGTGGCTGGGACCATCTTTAGTTTCCAGCTAGGGGTCTAGGCTCATCCAGGAACTCTGGCCTGTGCTCTAATCACACTGGTAGGAAGTGTACATCTGGCAGCAGAGGCCTGTCTGGGACAGCCAGCCTTCCAGGCTGCTGGTGGGAGGCCCACCATGCACAGCAGTCCTGCGAGGGACAAAACTTAATTGTCCCTCTCAGTAGTGAGCAAAGGAGGTGGAGCCATAGAAATTTATTTGTGCTTGTTTTGTGCATTTTCTTCAGAAAGAGACTTGGTCATGTTTGAGATTATAGACCCTTCCTGCCCATGGGACCCTTTGTGGGTCCCACCGTGGTGGTCGAATTTAGAGCTGGTGGCCAGGTGTTACAGAAGAGGCTAACATCTCCCTGTCCCTCCCAGGGACAGGTATTGTTAAGACGTGCATGGAAGGGCACCCTCCCACGCATTGGGGTGCTGAGATCCCTGTGTTTAGGTAATAACATCCATCAGGAAATGGTCACCGTTTCCCCTTTGTGGGGGAGAATAGACACGAGGAGACTCAGACACATGTTGCTGCATTCGCTGTAATCAATATGACATTGATTAGGAAAACTTTGGTACATTTTTTTCGGTATATTTTTGCCATGTCCCAGCAACTATCTGAGGCAATTAAATCGTTATGAACTCAAGTGTTCCTTCCTTTGAGGTAGGGACTAGTATTCTCCCCATTTTATGGTTGGGGAAACTGAGTCACAAATGAAGTCATTTGCAGCAAACAATACCAGAGCCAGGAAGCTGGTGTCACAGCCTCTGTGTGGTGGCCTTGAGTTCTGGGGGAAAAGCACTGGCGAAGCTGGCTGGGGGGTGGGGTGCAGGTTAAGTGCTGCCTCTCTGATATCATCATAGAACCATGCAGAGAGGACTTGCACGCTGACCTGGTGGCAGCATGAGGTGCAGGAGCTGGTAGAAAAGGGAAACTCACAGGGCAGAGTGTCTGGGGATTTCCAAGGATAGGGTGGGCTTTCTTACCGTCAGAGCAGTTTGCTAAATGAACCACATTGAGCCTTGCAGTTGATACCAAGATTGTGGCTGAATGAAAGTCATTCATTACTTCCTGTTTAAGATCCTAATAAATGCACTGTGTCTTCCACACAGCTTTGTAGAATCAGCACTTCAGACTAGCAGTTAACAAAATGTTGAGCCTGAGGCTGGCAGCTTGGAACTGCTGGGTTCTCATACATGTGTAGAACAGGTGATCCCTCTGGTCATCTGAGATCCTGAATTCATGGCCCAGCCTTTAGCACACTTTCGGCTGCATGGCTTGCACATTGGCTTCTTTTCTCCCTGGTCCAAGCACTAGTTCTAATGAAAACTCTTCCTATGTTGTTATTTTTAACTTCTGAATGGTTATTTCCCATTTTACTTGTAGTAAGTAAAATCCTTTTTATTTAAATACTGAATTTCAAAATTCAGCATCCCCCCACCCACCCACTGTAGCTCCATCTAAGCACTGCTGAGCACATGAAGATGAGCTGAAGATTGAAGAGGAAACGCTACTCTTGATGGGAATCCCAGTTTTCACCCTGCAACGGTCAGCTTCACAAATTTCTCCCACAAGGAAGGGAACAACCCAGTGTGAGATGGTTCTCGTCCCTCCCAAGGTGTCTAGAGGCAGCACAGCGCCCAGGCTCTGGGCACTGCAGGAGCCTCAGCCTGGTTCTTGCCCTGAGCTGACCTCAGTCCTCGAGTCTCTCCTTGTGCTGATCAGGTGATAGGTTCACAGAGAGAAGGGCAAGAGCCATTGTCTCAAGAAGTTTCTCAGCTTCCTGTTTGCTTTCCCACACGCACAGTGCTTCTCTAAAAGTGTCTCAGTTTTTAAAACTAAGGTATGGTGGCACATGCCTTTAGTTCCTCCTACTCAGAGGGTCTGGGGGCAGAGAGTCACTTGAGCCCAAGAGTTTGGGGCCAACCTGGGCGAAATAGCAAGACATTGCAAAGTTAAAAAAAAAGAAGGGGGGGGGGTTGGAGATGTAGCTCAGTAGTAGAGGATGTGATTAGTGTGACTGTTACCTTGGGTTCAATCCCTGGCACATGTGCACATGCACAAAATGCCAAACACAAATGCCCACACATGCACACAAAATACCAAAAAAGAGGTGGAGGGAATGCATTGGGGAGAGAGATAAGAGGTGAAGTTCTGTTTATGACTTGGTTCTGGTTATGTCGGGGTGCTTGCTGTATAACATGCAGCTGTTTGCCTAGGACTTGTGCAATTTTTTTTTTGATATGTATATTTTACCCCAACAACAAAATGATTTTGTGATAGATCTGGGAGGAGTACCATCTATTCTACCAAGAGAATAAAAGGAAGGAAAGTGATGAAGAGGATAATCCACCATGATTCCTGTGAAATGAGTCTAAGGTGAAGAGAGTAGGAACTGACCTGATAATTTTCTTTCCGGGTATTTATCCTAAAGAAAGTTTTAGCAGTTTTATTATAGTCATGGAAAATTAGAAACAAATGCTAGGTAATAGTTAAATGGAACACAACCAAAAATGGAATGCTATTTAGCCACTAAAAAAGGATGCCATAACATTGAGGGCATACTCTTAAGTGAAATAAATAGGACACACATGCAAATACTGAATAGTTTCTCTGGTGTGAGAAACTGAATGTGTAAATAAGGATCAAAATGTATAATAGATAATGTGAAATAGGAAGAAAAGGTCCAAAGGGGAAGGGGGAGTGGGAGGCATAGGGGAAATGAAAGAAAGGAATAAATATGAGAAAAGGAAAAAATGGAAAAAAAGTTTTTGTAAATAGGGGTGGAGGGGTTGATGGGAGGGCAGGGTAATGGGGAAAAAAATAACCAAGATATGTCATGTAAAGGTACAAATTCCCAATGATGAATGTCGTATTGTACACCTAAAATGTGCCAATAAACTTAATGACTAAAAAAAGGGATGCCATAAAGTTTATTTACTAAAGCCACTTGTAACAGCATACTATTAAAAAACAAGGTAGATATTTTACATACATGCATAGAAAAAAAGTTACACCATAATATTAACTATGGAGTAAGAATTATGGAACATTTGTATTACTTTACCTAGGTCTCTCTCTCGGTGCTTGTGTAATACTATGACAGAAAACACTCACATGGGCAACAGTTTGGGTCTCAGGCTCCCCACCAGCCTCTTCTCCCTCATCCTCACATCTGCTGAAGGTGGGGGAGGCCAGAAATTTTCTGGCAGCACTCCCAATGATTGTCTTCAAGTATAAATTGTCATCAGTGATCCCACAAGTATGTTCCAAACCAGTATCTCAGATTTGGAGATTCAGGAGGACCTCTGCTCAACTTACTGATGCTGAAATCATCTTGAAAAGTTTCACCCTCTGCTGTGCAAGGGCTGGGAGAGCACTTTAGCCTCATAGGAATTTCACAGCGATTTTCTTTAGAGACAGAGGGATTCATTTTCCAGGATTGAGTTCACCTCTTCACTTTATTGTAGGAATTTGTACCATTATAATTTCTCAGCTTTCTCTTCTGCTTTCCCTAACACAAGATAGTTCTGTAAAAGTGTCTTGGTTTCAGCTGGTACAGAGGCTATCCAATTGTATGCTTCATTATAGAAAGGTCTGGTGTTATTAACATTGTAGAACCTGTCAAGGCAATGTCTTGTCTTCATTTCATTACCTCCTTGGGCCTGAGACCCAATAATGGTTTGAGTCACAAACACCTTACTTTGAGCCCCTGGCTCCTGGAAAGAGAGTCCCAGATGGTGTGAAGGAAAGAGCCTAGGGCTGGCAGGCAAGGACTCCAACCTCCAACCCTCCATTGCTATTACTGGCCAAGTTGCTCCCATCTCTGGGCTTCAGCCTCCTCTGGTTGGGCAGGGAAAAGGTTTAGACCAAAGGCCACTGAGGCTGTCTCCAGCTCCACCACAGTGTAACAGTGTGGTGGACCCAATGGATTCCAAGCTCTTGTGTATAGCAAGCAAAGAATTGCAAAGTGGACATTCAGTGGTGAGGGAAAAGCAGCTGTGTTTATTGAAGGTGACAGACAGAAATGGACAACAGAAAAGGAACTGCAGGCGGGGCTGATGCATCAGACTTTTGAAAGGGGTTGCATGTGCTTTGATCTGAGTTTATATAGAATGCTCTTAGGGTGGCACCTGAGCCCAAGTGGGTAGAGGAGAGTGATTAGGGAGGGATGGCCATAGGGTGCCACTGCCACACAAGTGGGTGGAAGAGTGAATTCCAGCATCTGAGAACCTGGCTTCTTACCTCTACCCTCCAGTATGTGCAACAGTACTGTGACTCTTGCAGTGAACTGTAGACACTCAATGGTTTTGTTTTTTGTCAAAGTAAATAGCATGAAGAAAAAGTAACTCTTCCCACCCCACCCCCCACTAAAATAATAATAAGAATGAGTACATGGGAAGGAAGACTGGAAAACCCAAAAGAGAAGCACTTGCTCTCCAAGGGACCATCTCAGTATGAAGGCATGTAGTGGCTGTCACACAGGCTGAGTGCCATGTTAGACGAATTTCCCTGAAGGGCTGGGCTTGCCTCCAGGTCTGACTTGAGGCCTGAAAGAAAGGCAAAATAACTGTCAGTGTATCAAGAGCTCCTCCAAAGCAGCATCCTCCCATGACCAACCCCTAACCCTCAGCTACGGAAAGGTCTGAGAACTTGTCCCTGGAGCACAACTTGCGGGATGGGGTGAATGGCCTCAGCAGCTGCCCCAGAGTGCTTCACTCCCACCATCTTGTTTGATCCTCGCAGCAGCCACAGGAGCAACTATATGGAGTTGGCACTGGGTAAGAGATGCTGGAGAACTGCCCAGGGTCACATAACCAGGAGGTGGCTGAGGCAGGATCTGAGCCCAGTTAGCCTAGGTGCTTGGAGCCTTTGTCAAGGTCACCAGGAACCTTAGGGCTGGGGATGACCTGATTCTCAGGGATAGAGGGGTGCCCCTAGCCCTAGCCACTTGACCTAAAATTACCTTCAACCCAAACAAATGGGTGTTAATTCAATCCAGGGCACTCTTACATGACCTAATTTGTCATGTGCACATACCCTGTCCTCCAAAACCTCTCTCCTGAAGCTGAGTGGCTCTGGAGTCACTGAGTATATTCACTCAGCTGAGGGAATCCCACAAACGAGTTTAATCTGCATAGCTGTGTATTTCAGGGCAGGACCTTATTCTTGCAAAAGTTTCCAACTGCACTCCAGGTAATGAAAGTACTAAAAATCCTTCTCGGTTGGTTTTTAGAGTCTTTATCCTGTGGGATTATCACAACATATGCATTGGAAATTCATTATGCTCCCATTGTTTAAAATAATGATGAGTAAAATGGGCCAGGGATTTAGCTCAATGGTTCCGCTGCCTGCCTTGCAAGCACAAGGACCAGAGTTTGATCCCCAGTACCAAAAAAAAAAAAAAAATGATGAGTGAAGACACTAAGCTTGGATTCCTGCAGAGAAACACCAAGGAGTATAAAGTGCAAGCTCATATAAAACCTAAAATATTTTCATCTATTGGAAGGAATTGGTTATTCAGTTGGTTGTCCTGAAGTCTGTACACAGTCGATACTGACAAGTTCTTTAAAAATATATTTTCTATCCAAAGTTGGTTGAGTCTGTAGAGGTAAAACTCAAGGACCTGGGGGGAGGAGGTGACTATAAAGCATGCTGCAGGCTTTCAACAGATGATGATGGAGGGTAGTCTTGCCTCTGCCCGCTCGGGTGGGATTCCTATCCTCGAATGAATCAGAGATCTGTGAGTTGGGACTGTGATATCCATCATAGGTGGCTGATGTGAGGAGAAAGAGATGTCACAGTGCCAGGCTGGAGCATTGCTTAGATGTTCCCTGGGACTGCCTCAGCCCGGGGGCCAAGGAGAGCAGAGCAGAGGTCTTTCTTACTGAAGGCTTTTGTTTTGTTTTGCTTCGTTTTTCTGAACATTTCAGAATCACTGAGCTAAACTGAGTGTCGAAGCCAGACAGCTGATTGCTCCTTTTCCTCCCATCCTTGGTGACAAATCAAGCCCTGTGTTGACACAGGGAAATTGGGAACAGAGGCCATTTATTTTTTGATTTATGTGTAAAAGATTGGCTGTCCCACGAAAAATGAGACCACAAGCAGTGGAATCTGGATAGAATTATTCCAAAAAAGAGGGCCACAGGTAGTTGAGGAACTAGGGAGAACATGAGGAAGGTCTCTGGTGGTTTTTCTGGTGCTAAACCAAATAAACAGCCTTGCTCCACCCCACCCCTACCCCCTTTTTCAAGGACTCAACCACGTGGCCAGCCTTTGCCCCCTTTTGTTCAGGGCTCAGCGGACCCCCGCTTCTGAGACCACAGCCATGCCCTTTCCCTGGGAAAGGTTCCCTCTCCCTGCCTCTGGAAAGCCAGGACCAGGTGAGCAAGCCCCAGGATGAAGGTCTCACCTAGGACATTTGCAAACGCGACGTCTGTTCCCTGGATAAGAAGAAAAGGGAAAAGTGAGTGCTCCTAGTAGTCTCCCATGCAGTTCCTCCCAGTTTCCTGCCTTTTCCCTCTCCTCAAACATCAATTTAAAAACATTCCCAACGCAGATGTGGCTGAACTGTGGCGATTCTGTAGACCTGCGCTGGCACAGTCACATGCATGGAGGCCGAAGAGAGGTAGGGGATCCTGGGATGGGGGCCGAGGAGAACCTTGAACCAGTTGCGGTTTTGGCCCACGCTTCCTGGGCACAGGTCCCAGACTCACAGACCCCCCCACCCCCACCCCGGCCCCAGTTGCTATTTGCAACAAGTCAGGGACTCTCTCTGCGAGCTGGGCTTGGGGGGGGGGGCGGTGGAACACGAGCTCCTGCAGCTTGGGAATAAGACGCTGTTTCCAAAAACGTCCCAGCTTTCCTGCCTTCTAGCTCCAGGAAAAACGGGCTATGCTCGCTCTTGCAATGTAGCTCCGCAATCCCAAAAATGTGAACCCTATCTCCGGTCAACGGCTGCCTAGAGCGAGCGCGAAGGGCGGGTGGGGAGGGCCGCCTCCCCACGGTGGTTACCCGGGACTTACTGCGGAGGAAGATGACAGCGAGGACCAGGGACAGCAGAAGGACAGCGCAGGTGCCGGCCAAGGGCGCCCAGATGTAGACATCGCAGGTGAGATCCAGCCACCTTGTGTGCGCTGACAACACCGAAGCTTCGACACTTAGCGACTGGCCGGGATCTCCGTTCCACCCCACTCTGCCATCCCAAGCTCTGCTGCCCACCCCGGACTCGGTTTCCCCCAAATATGGACCGCCCTCCAGGATCAGGGTGGCCCCCGAGGTGAGTGTCCCCTGTGGTCCGCCAGGAGCCCTGGGACCCACGCCCGCCTTACCTTTGCCGCCCTTGGAGAGCACACAAGTCTCTGGGCGCACAGACGGGGACAACGCGCTGGGCACCTGAGTGGGGGGAGGCGGAGCGGGCGTGGTGGTGGGAGCAGCTGCGGGAGCAACAGGATGGGTGGGGGTCGAGCAGGCATTGCAGATTCCTCGGCGCCCGCCCGGCCCTCGCCTTGCACCCCTACACCCTTTAACCCAGGGCGCGCCTCCCATCGATTCTCCCCGGGCGGAAAAGGAGGGACGCTGGGTACGCTGACCCTGTTTGCGGCGGGCCGAGCGGCTGCCCTCCGCCCAGCCCTCCATGGGTGCAGCCTGGGCTGTTATCTGGATTCCACCGGGGCGCAAACAGGAGTGCAAGGAATTTCAGTAACTTTCCTAGGACCACACAAGCACCTGAGCCTAAGTCGGCCGAGACAAAAAGGCAACTTTAGTCCCTATTCAGCCATACTGTAGCCAGTTTCCTGGTCTGAGAAGTGGGAATAGTATCTAAGTACCCACCACGGAATTAGGAGGTGTGAAAAACCGTTTTGGGCCAAACTGGCTGCGCACGCCTGCCGGTAATCCCAGCACTCAGGAGGCTGAGGCAGGAGGATCACCCTGAGCTCCTTGCCAGCCTGGGCTACATAGTGAGTTCCAGGCCAGTCTGAACTACATAGCGAACTCCTGTCTCAAAGCACCAAAATATAAAATAAAATGAAAAATGGATTTGGAGGTGAGCCCCAATCAGTCCCCACGAGAAGAGGCGCCGCGCCCTGCTCTCAGACCTGGCAGAAAGACAGGAAGGAAGGGGCTGAAGTGGAGAATCGTGTTGGCGACGACCAAGCAGAAATAGTAGCCTTCGTCCTGCTCACGGAAGCCGCTCACGGTGAGGGTGTACGTGTTACTGCTCTTCGTGCTGGTGAATCTCTTCTCGTCCAGACCCGGGGCCAGCTTGGGCCGCGACCCCGACTGGTACAGGAGGAAGGTGGGACTGCGGGTGGCGCCGTGCGGCTGGAAGAGCCAGGAGCAGCCCTGCAGCACGTTGCGCATCAGCACCTCGCAGCGCAGCGTCACCGTCTCGCCGACCCCCGCGACCAGCTTCGGCGGCGACATTCGGAACTGGTTGGGCCCTTGGGCTTCGGCGGCGTCTGCGGGGTTGGGGGAAAGCAGCGAGGCTGAGCTGGGACCCCCGACCCCTCCGCTCCTGCCCCCCGCCTGCCCCGGGGTCGCGACTCACCGAGCAGCAAGGCCACCTGCAGCAGCAGCCAGGAGGTCACCCGCGGGGCCATGGAGCGCGCTCCTCCTCGAAGGGCGAAGCCTAAAGCCGGGCGCGAGGGAAGCCGCCCAGGAACCAGGGCCCTCGGAGGGGGGAAGTTGCACCCTTCGGCCGGCTGCGGCCCGACGTGGAGTTTGGAGGATGTGATGTCACCCGAAGCCCCCGCCGTGGAGAGTGTCGCCCTCTTTTCGCGGTTGTCACCTTCCAGCCCAGAGAGCATGTGGGGGCCTGGGAGCTGTGAAAGGGACCTGGCAGAGCAACTGTGGGCACGGAGAGCTGTGGGCTTGGGGCCAGGGAAAAGAGCTTGGAAATGGCCATGGACACGGCTCTTTGGTGGCTGTGACAGAGACAGAGGGTAAAGAGCGATTAAGGTTTTCGAGAAACCTGAGCGAGAGAGCAGGAAGGGAGGGGAGCTCCCATTCGTTTGCCCTCACTTCATATGGCCTTGGGGCTTCTGGTCTGCATGCCTGGCACTGAGGCTGAGAATGAAGAGGAGTGGGTGACCTGGCCACCCCTCCAGGACTGGGAAAGGGCAGCCCAGGCTTCTGTCCCGGAGGGGACTTGATGGAGCCGGCAGCAGTGCAGCCTCGGTGCCACCCAGCTCCTCTGCTGCCACACCCTTCAGCGCTGTCTCCAGGGACAGAGCTCACCACACAGCTTCATCTCTTCTCAGGGCAGACAACACACCAGCCCGCATGCCAGCCTGTGGCGCTTTGAGAGTCACTCTCGTGAGGGCATATGACGGTGTCACCCCTGCAACTCCCCTTCACTGGGAAACTCAACGCCTTGGCTTGGTTCACCAGCCCTTGGTGGGCACTGGCTCCTCCCAGCCTCTGCCACAGCCCAGGCCCGCCTGTCCCCGCAGCTGCAGCCCCAGCCCCAGCCTTGCAGGCTTCAGTGCCCATCCTCAGTGCTCCTCTGCGCTTTCCAGCCTGTGGATGCCTCGCTGCTGCCCTGCTGCCTGCCTGTTATTCTGTTTACCCCACGGCCAGACCCCACTCTCCTCCCTGTCTGACTTCCACCTCATTTCTCTCCTCCCCTGTGCTGGATGCTAGGCAAGAAAGAGGGGGTGGGGTGTCTGGGAGCAGTTTCCCTCTTCTGTCCCTGGCCCACGTGGTCCCTTCCTTTTTGCCTATCGCTGTCCTGAAACCTTCCGGCCTCAGGGCCATGCTTTCCTCTCCTTTCTTTAGTGTTTCACTGTCTTCCTACTTAGGATCCCGTACTGGGTGCACTTCCCATCACTGCTGTTGATTTGGACACAGCCACCTGGCATCCTGCCCCCTCATCTGCCTCCACCCTTGAGCCCAAGGGTGTCCCAGACCCCATGATGTGTCCTCTACCCCTAGATGTCACAAAACTTCATGGGCTGAGCCGTGTTCACGGAACTGCAATCTCCTGATGGGGTCTAAATGAAAGCAAGCAAGTGTTGGATGGGCTTTTTATTTACTTAATTATTGTGGTGCTAGGGATTGAACCGAGGGCCCTGTGCATGCTAGCCAAGAGTTCTACCACTGATTGTATCCTCAGCCCTTGGGTGGGCTTTTTTTGCACCCCCACTATCACCACCACCCCAGCATCCAAAGTGCTTACTCTAACATGAAACATTTTATATTTAGAAAAAACAATTTTGTGTCTTTTAAATTATAAGAATATTCTTTTTTTTGTGGTACAGAAGACTGAACCTCTAGCCTTCATACTAAGCAACATCCCCAGCCCTTTTCTTATTTTTATTCTGAGACAGGATCTGAGTAATTGCTAAGTAGCCCAAGCTGAGCTCAAACTTGTGATCCTCCTGGCTCAGCTACCCAGAGTAGTGGGTTACAGGTGTGCGCCACCAGGCCTGGTAAGAGTAATATATTCTTGTAAAACATCAGATAATGCAAAAAATGAGTACAAAGTCCTCTGTCTCAATGCTCTTGACTGTCATCACTCTAGAGAAAAACCACGGTTACAGTTGAGCGTGTTCCTCAGATATTATCTGGGCACAAACAGATGTTTATGCATTGTTTTAGACACATTGGGAGATAGATATATATATATAGATAGATAGATATAGATATATATATATTATATGTATATATTGCAGTTTACTTTTATTATTTAGCAGAAGGAAACTTTCCATGTCAGCAGATATAGATCCACCCCATTCTTTTATTTATTTATCTATTGGTTTTTTGAGACAGGGTCTCGCTATGTAGTTCAGGCTGGCCTTGAATTCATGTAGCCCAGGCTGGCCTTAAACTCGAAGTGATCTGCCAGTCTCAGCCTGCCAAGTGCTGGGATCACAGATGTGCATTACCATGCCTGGCCCACCCCCTTTTTAAAAAAGTGTACATTTTATCTGTGCAGTCCATCATTTAAACCTCCTTTTAATGGCCATTTCAGCAGTTTCTCAGTTTATGCAGTTGTATCAGCTCTGCTGTGATATAGGTACCTGCATCACTGAGGATTACACCAGTACAAGAAACATTTTCAAATGGAAGATGAAGGAGGTGGGGAAGGGAAAACCTCTGCAATGAGTGGCATATGTATGCATGCGTCTGTGTGGGTGTGTGTGTGTGTGTGTGTGTCCCCATCCCTGACTGTGTACACACTGTGCTGTTCCTCAACTCAGATGAATGAGAACAAGGAAGCAGCTAAGTTCAGACAGGTCACCAACATGGCAAGCTATGCTTTAGATGCAGTTTCCCATTTTGTTTGGTCACTGTCCCCACTGCAGAAGGAGCATCCTGTGACGCTGCTGGCCAAAGGATACAATCAGAAAGGTGGTAAAGAGGGCGGATGGACATGAAAGTACACCTTGCCCAGTTAGGGTGGAGATTTGGGTCTAGGGAGCCAGGTCCCCGAGTATGATGATGGCCGCATTTTGGGGGTATACTGCTTGAAAATAGAAGTGTTCTATTCCATCTCCCTGAAGTGAGCTATCGCTGGCTTGGGGGCTTTCTGGCCTCACAGCCAAGCCAAAGCTAGCAGCCTCTTTGCACAGGGCATCATATCATGGGGGGCATGTCAAGGCAGCATGTCAAACCCACCAAGGAAGCTTTGTGACCCCAAAGATATTTTTCACAATTGGTGGTGGATTCTGTATGTAACCACAACGGCATCCGCTCTGCAGCAGGCAGAGGAGTAGATGCAATTGCACAGGCTTGGAAATGAGGGCTTTCTGTAGCCCAGGTGTGTGTGCAGAGCACTGGGCTGGGCTTGCTTGTCACACACAGGTGAGCCCACACACCCCAGCCTGCTGTGCTCACATGGAGGTGAAGAAGGACTGGGAATGACTGCACTGTCACACTAGTCCCTTGTTTTCAAAATATGTAGAGAAAACAAAACAGACAGGTCTTTGTTATTCTCAAAATATCTGGGTTTTTTTTTTCTCTTTTTTGAGTCAGGGTCTCACTGTGTAGGCCAGGCTGGCCTTGAACTCACTATGGAGCCCAGGCTGACCTTGAACTTGGACTGATCCTCCTGCCTCGTCTCCCAAGTGCTGGGATTGCAGGTATGTGCCAGCATGCCTGGCAAAAATGTATGTTTTTGAACCATGGGAATAAAAAGATTTTAATTCACACAGGTTAAAAACATTCAAAATTCGTAAGTGGGCAGGAAGTAGTAGGAAGTTCATCAGGGCTCTCTGTTCCAGCTCCAGCTCCTAAGTCGTACACTACAGGGACAAGTTAGAATCACAGCTGTGAAGTCGCCTGCTGTCTCCCCTGGTCAGTTCAGGTCTACGGACATACTATGGGTCTCCCTGTTTGCAACTCTGGTATTACCAGGGCTTTGCTCTACCTCAGTCATAAATAAAATGTCAATGCAAGCTCATTTCCTCTATTCTTACTTTACTGTACCCTGGATCCTTGAATTCATCTGTGCTGCTTTCATCTCCAGCCTGGATCTTTGCAATGGTCTCCTAACTTCTTCCCTCTCCTTTCCAGTGAAGATCTCCTCATTCCAACCCCCTGCCCCAGCCCCAAAGTACTTCCCAGGTCTTCAAGAAATACTTGTTCAGTTAAAACTAAAAGAAGACCAAAGTGGAATATAGCAGAGCCAAAGAGGTGGAGATAGTTAATTTCACATGACAGTGGTCAGGACAGGCTTTACAAAAGTGGATGGGTTTAAAAATGAGTTAAGTATTAGGAGAGTTGGTTAGAAGGAGGCATTTGATTTCTGTCCAAAATGGTGCCAATACCATGCTATAACACATAGTAATGGTAGGTTTAAAATAAGGTGGAAGGGAGAAGGCAACTCAGAAGCAAGATGAGCATCTGCATGGATGTAGCAGTGGGAACCAGGGCTGGAATCAGGGCTGGCTTTCTGGGCTCTGGTCATTCTTGGGTCTGGCTCTTGAGGGTTCATTCTTGGTACAGAGGCACCAAGGGTTTGGCACTTATGGCTAGCAGAGTCCCAAAGTGCCTCACCTTTGGAGCGAAGCTGGAGCCTGGCTTTCTTTTGAAACAGGATCTTGGATCTAGATTTCTATTGATTGAAAGGTTAGAGCCCAGAGCCACCAGTGTAGGGCCTGGTTCCTACTGGGAGCTCTGAAAAGTGAGAGCTGAAAAAATCAGGAGGGTGAAGTATAAAGAGAAGAGATTAAAATTTTTTCTATTCAAGAGAACCTTGCATGCAGACTCAAAATCCAAAGTATATGTAAGACTCAACAAATGGGATATGGATCCACTCTCAAAGAAATGCAAATCATGCACCAGTGTGAAAAGGGTTTTATTCAAAGAGAACAAGAACTTGCAGAAAATCAATTAAACAAGAACAGTTCAAGATGATAAATAATGAATGTACTGGAAAGGAAAACTCAATATAGAAAGTAGGATACTCTCTAAATTGAACATAGTTGAAGGAATAACTCATGAACTGGAAGCCAGCATTGAAGAAGTCACACAGAATACAATGCAGGGAGACACATAGAGGCAGTTTGAAAAAGCTGTTGCAAGGTGGTTTGGCACTGTGAAATGTTTCCTAGGATTCCTGAGAGAGTAAAGGAGGTGTGAACAAAGACCATGGGAAGAGATTTTGGCTGAAAAAGTTTTACAATTAAAAACCTAAGTCCTTAAGTTAAAAAAAAAAAAAAAGAACAAATCATCGGTCACAGTGCCAAGTGGGATAAATAAAATTATATCTATTTCTGCACACGGACATCAAGAACAAAGACAAAGGCATCCCAGGAAGCTGGGCTGATGCTTGACAAACATTTGGCCAATCCTTGGTTGGCAGAGAACATAAACTGAGCTGTCAAGGGGAGAAACCCACAAGTTTTGGTTACATCTTGTGTTGACTCTGTCAGCCCCTCCCTCGCTGCTGACCCATGCTTACTATAAGCAAATTGAGTGCTGCAGATCTTGAATCTCGAGAAAAATGAAACAGAAGTGTCCCAAATGCAATCAAAGGGCAAGGATTTGTGTTTAGGAGAGGACCAAGGCCAGAGTTGAGCTTGACAAGGGGGCGATAACATTGCAAAGGGAGGTCAGAGGAGGATATGGAACCTTCAGGGAAAACTTGCTTTGAAGGAGAAGGAAGAAAGAATTGGCACAGACTCCAGGTCATGTAGGAAATTCAGGATGGGGCTTGAGAAGGTGGAAAAACTTCATGGGGGAGGTTTGGTTTATGATGGGATCATGAATGGCAAGCCTGGGGCAGGAAGAGAAAAGTCATGTCTACCTCTCACCCACATAGGGCATCCACAGATGACTCCAACAGATGATGGTAAGGAGGCTGATGGGAAGGCTGGGGTGGATGGGAAGGTGGATGGGGAGATTCTGCAGGATGAAATGATGTTAACATCTGGACTTCATTCATTGCCCATTCATTGAAGTGGATGCACCATTCACTTTTAAGTTTTGAAAACCTTTGAATGCAGAAAAGTACAGCAGATAATATGAAACACCCATAAGATCTGATTTTTGTCATTATGACACTCTGATGACCATCCTTGTACATATTACATAGACTCCAAGTACAAGGTTTCCTCTGGGTATTGGCCTGGAAGAGGAATGATTGACCTAGAGAGGTGAGATTTATTTTAAAAATGCTTCCTTTTAACTCCCATAGCTATTGGTAAATTTTAAAGTGGTGGCACCAGTTTGTACCCACCCCACGTGGGTAAGTTTCCATGACCCACATTCTGCCAGTGTGGTAGGCCTGAATTGGCATCTCATTGTATAAACTTGTATTTCCTTGAGGGCCTGGGTTCATTCCCAACACCACAAAAACAAACAAACACACAAACAAACAAAACCCACCTTGCATCTCCCTTGCTAAGGTTGAGACTGAGCATCTTGCCACGGGTTTGTGGCTACTCAGCTTTCTTCTTCTGCAGGTCGCCTGGTCTTGTCCTTTGCCCACCTCCCTGAGGGATATCAAGTATTTAGGTAACGTCCATCCCCAGGTATCAGCCCTGCCTTCCAGAGCACACATCACTTACACTACGGATTTTGTTGGTTAGAGAACCTGATTTCTTTCCAGTTAACTGTGCGCTATGACTTTCCATAACCAAAAGAGTCTTCAGTTCTTTTTATTTGAAAGCTGTCCTGAGTCCTGTCACATTTTGCTCTAGCAAAAACAGGAAAGCAAAATAGACCACATCCAAAGGGTTTCTCTCTTCTCTTCCTTTTTCCCTTCTTCGTTCCCTTGGTTTCCTCTCCCTTCCTTCTTTCCTCCTCATCCTTCTCCTACTCTTCCTCCTCTTTTTCTTCCTCTCCTCCTCCTTCCCTCCCCCTCCTCCTTCCGCCTTTTCCTCCTCCTTTTCTCCCCCCCCTTCCCTCTCATCATCTTTATACACAACACAAAATTTGTTGTCTTGAAACAGTTTACCCAAAATAGAAACTTTAAGCAGTCAGTGGAAAGTTTTTTTTTTTTTTTTTTTTACAGAAGCTGGTTAATTCTTCACCTGGGGGCTGGGCGGGATCCATGAAGTAACCTCAACTCAGCCATCAAGCGTTTCACTCCCACGGTTTCCCGCCGCGACCTGGTTCTCTGGTCACCTGCAGGGAGAGCTGCGGAGGATGTCAGCAACGGGGGCGGGGACACCAGCCAGTGTCAGCCCCCCACCCCCACCCCCGCCAGGCACACGCGGAGGTTCCGACTCCTTCAGCAGCCGGGACGCAGTTGTAACCGGTCCTCGGGAAGGGGAGGGCGGAGAGCGAGGTAGAAAGAAAGGGAGGAGAAGGGGGTTCCCGCCCTCCTTCTGGCTTTGGGTCCCCGCGCCCTTTCTCGCTCGTCTCTCAGTTCCGCAGAGAGAACGAGCGGCTCCCTCTGGGCCTCACGCGCCGGGCCGAGGGCCTTGGGAGGTCCCCGAACGCGCCGCGAGGCAGAGCCTGAGCCCGGTGGCCCGTGGCCCGCAGTCAGCTTCTGGGTGGGGACGGGCGCGGGCGGAGCTGGGTGCGCTGGGCGGGTGGCTGGGGCCGCCGTGGCCCTGCTGCTCCGCTGGCCTCAGACTGTTCTGCGGGGCATCCCAGCAAGGGGCACAGTCGGGGGACACTGGAGTCACGATAGGGTAGAGGTGCCAGGATGTGGTAGGCGCAGCCACGCCATGGCGAAGGAGCCCAGCACTGGGCGTCATGGGGAGCGAGATCAGGGCGAGAGCAGCCAGAGCCTAAGGACGCAGTGCGCGGCGTGGGGGTTGGAGGAGGAAGGGTCAGAGGCCGGTCCAGGCTGCAGGCAGGCAGGGGCCAGGACACAGTGACCAGGAGCAGCACAGTGTGTCTGGCGGACCGAGTTCCGAGGGGACAGGATGGAGAAGGGGGGAGCTGGCTCCGGTTCCCCCCTGGGCTGCTCCCGCAACGACTTCTTGGGCCAGCCTTGCAGGTCTGAGTATCCACCTCTGTGGACCTATCCGGGTCCCTCCCCTCGCCTCCGCTGTATCTCACATGAATCCATTTCTCTGCGCACAGGAGCCCTGGGCTGAGACAGCCGGCCCATTACCTGCTCTGCCCAGGGGAGGTCAGGCCCAGCCCAGGGCACAGAGAGCTCAGCGTGGGTGCTGAGCAGAAACGGGGTGCAGAGTGGGAGGCAGAGGGAGACTGGCTGAGGGCTTCGGGGGAGGAGAGAAGAAGGGTCTAGAGTATGGAGCTGGACAAATTCATATTTGGAGACAGCTAGCCCAGCACATTTCCTTCACACGGGGAGAAAAACAGGGCCAGGAAGGTGAGCATCCTTCCCAGTAACTCAGCTTCCGAGGGCAGGGACCAGGGACGGGCCTGGCTGCCTCACCAGTTTCTGCCCAGTTCTGCCCCCAGGAGGCGATGTTGCTTTAGTTTTTTCTACCTTTTGGGGGATGGGAAGGGAGATGGCCTCCAGCAAAATGCGGCAGGAGTGGGCTTCCACCAGGGCTGGGGCTGGGGCTCTGACCCTCTCAGTTCTCAAGATCCCCCTCTTCGAAAGAGCCACCTGTCTTATTACAGGTCCCTAAGAATCCTGCTTTGACGGCTGAGATTACTGTTGGGAGGTGGAATGGAGTGCGGTGGGATCAAAACTGATTCCAGTGATGGCATCTCTGGCCCAAGACAAGGTGGGCAGTGGGGAGAGGCTGACCCTCCCCCCATCTGTCAATCAGTAGTGCTGGGCTGATGTCAAAACCTTAGTAGGGGAGAGCAGTCCTAATTTGAGATCCTCTCTTCTCAGGGCCAGTTGGGGCTTCTCCAACTCTTCTTCCTTCATTTGTCAGAAAATGCGGAGACTGGAGTGGAAATGTGGGGGTCGTCCTGGGGGCCAGGTTCCCTGCCCAGGCAGATGTGGCCACGGTCTCATGAGACCACAGGGCAGAAGCACCAAGGAGACACTGCAGGGCCCTGGCCCAGGATGTGCAGGAGGTGAGGGGACAGGAAGCCGACAGGCTCGGGGGTTGGGGCCTGTTCTGGGGCAGGTGGCATGTTTGGCCCTTGTGTTCCACTCAGGGGCACAGGTTGCCGCACAGACAGGCCTGGGACATGGGTCCCACCCTGTGCTCTGGGCTCCAGCAGGGCTGGGATAGGGGAGGGCTGGGAGCACTGGGTTGGGAGGTTCTGGGAACCAAGGACCCTCTGAAGTTCTTAGGGCTTATTCATTTCATTCCGCTCCTGGTTCTAGTTTACTCGGAAGATCCTCTTCCGTGCTGGCTCTGGTGGTGGTTGGAACCAAAGGCCCTTGGTGAACATGTACCCTGCTGTTAGCCACCAACAAGTCTTTATGCATAGCCTGTTTCTTCTCCTGTGATGTGAACCGTCCTCCTTGTGGTCCAGAGGAGTTCTGAGCCAGACACAGTAATGGAAGATATCTAGCCTAATAAAGTCTTTGCCTTCTTGTTTAGCTTAAAAATATTTTGGAAAATATAAAATAAAAAGAAAAGAAAAAAATCATTCATAGTGCGAATATGGAAATATACCACTGTTGACTTGTTGGTGCATTTATTTTGTGCTGTTTTCAATATCTTTTTGTTTGTTATATATTTTTCTTTTCTTCTCCCATCATTTTCATCAGGTTTCTAGTCAATTTTTGTTGTTGTTGTTGTTTTTTGAGACAGGGTCTCACTACATAACCCAGGCTGGCCTTGAACTTGTGGTGATCCTCCTGCCTCAGCCTCACAAGTGCTGGGATTCCAGGCAGGTGCCATCATTCCTGGTTTCCAGTTTGCTATTAAAAAGTCTTATTGTATCACTTTCTCTTATAATGTGCTCTTCCTGAATCTCACCTGATAACTGCAAAATGTTCCACTCATATTTTGTCTAATTACTTAAGCATTCATGTTGTACCCACCTTTTCATTATGATACAGTGATTTTGAAATAGTGTATATTTTCAATTTTTTCTTTCTTTTTTTTTTTGGTACCAGGATCGAACTCTGGACCTTGCACTTGTGAGGCAGGTGCTGGAACCACTGAGCTAAATCCCCGGCCCTATATTTTCAATTTTTATTTCTGTTACCCTAAGAATTCATAAAAGTAGTTTATAATTCTTCATTTGGATAGATTTCCCCCTCCCTTTGTTTATAACTTTATTGTTCTATGGCCCTAGAATTAGCTGTATTTATGTTTTTTTAGAATTTGAATTTTTGATGGATGTTGACTTTGTAACTAATATAGGCATAGTTTTGCATGAGTAATTGGGTACAAAATTGGATATATTAGATCAAACTTTGTGAAATATATTACTCACATTTTCTCTATTCTTTATATTCATCTACTTGAGGGCTGGGGATTTAGCTCAGTGGCAACGTGCCTGCCTTGCAAGCACAAGGTCCTGAGTTTGATCTCCAGTACCAGAAAAAAAAAAAAGAAAAGAATATATTCACCTACTTGATCTGTTAATTTCTGTAAGAGTTGTAAACTTTCTACATATGTTTGTGGATTTATTATTTCCTCTTCATATTTTAGCAGTTTGTGCTTTATATATTACAAGGTGATATTAAAAAGTGTAAAAACCACATGGCTGTTAAAATTATAAATAAACATATTGGCATGTTCCTCTTTTTATGCATTTTAATTATTTTCTTGGTCTAGATTTTCAGGAGCAAGTGGCTTTTTGGGCCAAGTTGGTCTTTTACAGATTGGACAAATGTATAGTATTGGCTTTATGTGAAAATGCATGTTTCATTAATTTCATTATATTATATATATATATAATCAATTATTTTAAGAGAGACAAAAATTCAGATATTTTAAATTTTTTTCTTTGATTTTTTTTATTGCAGCCAACTTTTTTCCCTTGTAGATATAACAACAGGTTGAATTTTCTTTTTGTATATGGGCTGTCTGTTCTTGTCTTTTTGTGCTTGTGTTTTCTCTATTTTAACTTGAGGAGGTTATGCTGTTGCAGCTCTCACACTGTAAGAATTATGTTTCTATTTGTTCTACCACAAAGCACACATTGAAAAGGAAAAACTCTGCTAGACCCTGCAATACTGATTATGTCCAAAACATGCTGTAAGCAGTGCAGGCTGCAGAGTTAAATCCCTCAATTGGCTTACTTTAAGAAGCGAGTCTCACTGAAACTATGTGACTCACAGCAGTATCTCATGAGCACTGTGGTAGCTTGCAGGGCAATGTGACCTCCCTGCTAACAGCCACAGCCGAGGCCAGAGTAATGGCCTATGAAGCTGAGGGGCTAATAGAGATAACACGTGTAGTTGAGGTTGGAGTAATGGCACCCAAATTCCATCCCCACAATTAGTGCCTTCATAGCTGGAAGGACAATGCTCTAATTACAACCATATATTTTGTCTATCTTGTTTCTAATTTGAAAATGCTTTGACTCTTCTCTTTAAAGCCTTGCCTGCATTGGTTTCTGTGGAAGTTTCACGTATTGCACATCTATACATGCATGTACTATACCTTTTACCCTGATCGATGAGTAATAAAATTCAGTGGAAGAGATAGGGCAGGGCTGTTGGAGTTCACACTTTCTCTTTAACTCTGTTTTAAGTTTTTATTTTTTATTTTTTGTTACCGGAGATCCAACTCAGGACCTTGTGTTTGCAAGGCAGGCATGGTACCACTGAGGTAAATCCCCAGTCCCTGCCTTAAGGTTTTTTTTTTCAATAAATATTATTGTATTATTGAATAAAGGGTGATATTCAAAGCATTAACAACTAATACAGTATAGGAATCAATCAATTGGAATGGATAAAACGATCAACTAAAATAATCAACTTTTTTTTTTTGGTACCGGGGATCCAACTCTGGACTTTGCGCTTGCGAGGCAGGCGACAGAACCACTGAGCTAAATCCCTGGGCCAATAATCAACATTTTTAAACAGCTGATACAGCTGAATTGTCCATACCTGTTGGTATTAGCCTTGGGTGAATAAATTACATTTTAGATTAATACTTCCCAAAGTCTGTTCCTCAAAATACTAATTCAGCAGAACCTATCTATGTACGAACATTGGAGAAATGTTTCCATGGTCAATTAAGTCTGGAACATTCCTACTTTAACCATGTTTTCTTCAGAGGTCTTTTCAATATTTAATATGCTAATGTGCATTAGATTCTTAAAGAGAGAGCTATATCGTGTAGTTTAGAAAACTACTTTGGTCATATAATTCACCTTACTTGTCTTTGATAACGCAGAACAACAAATATTTGAGAAAAGGCTGCCTTAACACTACTCTCCATCATCTCTCATAAACTTTAGTCTTTTCTTTTTCCCTTCATTGATCCTGTTTTTCTTCTGGTTCCCATCTTTTTTTCCCAGGACCTTTTCAAGTTTCCCTGCTACTAATATCCAATTTATCCAATCTTTTTACATGGTACCAATTATCTTTGTAAAATCAGTACCTCATTAAACTGCTCTACCTAAATGCATGTAGCAACCACTTTTTTGGTGGGGGAGATAAAAATGTATATCTGTCTAGCCCTTTAAAATGGTTTAATTGTACTGAATTTAACAATCTTGAAAAAAATTTTTTCTTCAACCTTGCATCACACACTGGGCAGGTGGGGACTAGAGGCTTACTGCAGGAGTCTCTGGCAAAACTCCAGCCCACCAAACGTGAACTGCACCCTGCAGACTGCTTCCTCTGCTCTCCGTGGACCAGACAGACCCACAACCTCAGTGTGGGCCCCATAGCAGACAGAGGCCTGTGCAGCCGCAAGCTTGTGCAATTTGGGACCTTATTTTTTTTCTTTCCTTTCTTTCTTTTTTTGAGTGGTAAGAGTCAGGTATTTTGACTAAACTGCAGAGGAAAGTAATACCCAGTGAGATGACATGATTTTCCTGGGATCGACAGATTCCTATTAGTTTGTGTTTTGGTTTTTTTTTTTTTGTACCAGGGATCGAACTTGGGACCTTGTGCTTTCGAGGCAGGCGCTGGAACCACTGAGCTAAATCCCCTGTGACAGATTCCTATTAGTAATTTGTGCCTTCTCTCTTTTTTTTCCTGCTTACCCTTAGCTAGAGGTTTTTCAGATCTGCTATATTTTCAAAGAATCAGCTATTATTTTCATTGATTTTTTCTCTATTGTTTCTTGTTTTCAATTCATTGATTTCTGTTCTAACTTTAGTAGGTCTCTTCTGCTTGCTTTAAGCTTACGTTCTTCTTTTTCTTGTTTCCCAAAGTAGAACTTTAGATGGTTGATTTTAGATCTTCTCTTTTTTATATACTGTATATGTATCCAGTGCTATAATTTTCCCTGTAAGCACTACTTTTGGTGCATTTCATAAATTGAGATAAATTTTCATTTTCACTTCAAAATATTTAAAAATTTTTTTCTCCTTTTTTTTTTTCAGAGAGGGTCTTGCTACATAGTTCAGGCTGGCCTTAAACTCACTAAGTAACCCAGGCAGGCCTTGAACTTGAGGCAATCTTCTTGCCTCTGACTCCCAAGTGCTGGGACTACATGTATGTGCCACCACACCCAGCTAAATTTTTCTTGAGACTTCTTTGAAACTTATGTTATTTAGAAGTATGTTGTATAATCTTCAATTCTTTGAAGATTATCCAGATATTGTTCTGCTACTAATTTTTAGTTTAATTCTACTGTGGTCTGAGATCTTATTTTATATGGTATCTATTAATTTAAATTGTTAAGATGTACTTTATAATACAGAATATAGTCTTTTGGTGAATGTTCCATGTAAACTTGGGAAGAGTATGTGTTCTGCTATTATTGGATGGAGTATTTTGTAAGTGTCAGATCAAATTAGTTGATAGTGCTGCTCAGGTCAATTAAACTATTACTAATTCTCTGTTGGCAGGAGTTTTCAATTACTGATAAGGGTGTTGAAATATCCACTTATAATACTGTATTTGTCTATTTCTTCTTACATTTCTACCATTTTCTATCTCACAAAATTTGGTGTTCTGTTGTTAAGTAAATGCATGTTAGACTGTTTTGTCTTCTTGAAGAACTGACCATTTCGACATTATGTAATGCCTCATAAATTTCCTGTTCTGGACTGTGGCTTATCTGAAATGAGTGTAGCTGCTACCATTTTCTTTTTCTTTTCTTGGTACTGGGGATTGAACTCGGGACCTTGAGCTTGTGAGGCAGGTGCCAGAACCACTGAGCTAAATCCTTGGCCTTTTTCTTTTTCTTTTTTTCTGGTACTGGGATTAAACTCAGGACCTTGCACTTTCGAGGCAGGCAGGTGGCAGCACCACTGAGCTAAATCTCTGGCCCTACCATTTTCTTTTGATAATGCTAGCCTGATGTATGTTTCCCCATCTATTTACAGCTCATCTGAGTCTTTATATTTAAAGTGAGTTTTTTGTAGACAATTATGGTTAGGTCTTGTTTTTTAAAATCTTATAAAATCTTTAAAAAATCTTAATCTTTCTGGCTTGGTGTGGTGGTGCACACCTGTAATCCCAGCACTGTCTCAAAATGAAAAATAAAAAAGGCTGGAGATGTAGCTCAGTGTGAAGGCTCCTGTGTTCAATCCCCAGTGCAGAAAAGAAAATCTGACAGTCTCTGCCTGCCTTTTAGTGGCATATTTAAGTCATTCACATTTAAAGTCATTTAAAAATCTTGTTGGGGGCAAAAGGAATCTTTCCACATTGTTGGTGAGAATGTAAACCACTATAATCTCTGTGGAAATTATTATGGAGATTCCCCAAAAAATTAAAAATAGAAGTTCCATTTGATCCAGCTACACCCCTTGTGGGTATCTTTCTGAAACAGTTAAAGACATCATATTACAGTGATACATGCATATTCATGTATATAGCATCACGACATAATTAAATCTTGGCATGGCCTATGATGAATGGATAAAGAAACTACAGTATATATATATACAATGGAGTACTGTTCAGCCATAAAGAAGGATAAATTTGAGTCATTTGTATGAAAATGTATGCACCTTGAGACCATAATGCTAAGTGAAATAAATCAGATACAGGAGGTTAAATAGTGCATGTTTTTTTTCTTATGAGAAGTATGAGAAACCCTAAATATAAAGAATTTATTTTTTAAAAACTTTAAAAATCATTGTTAGTACATGTTTACATTCATCGTGGGGAGTTGGTATATGTGCGTAACATTTTTTTACTTCCCCTTTCCCTCCTCTGTCTCCCAAATGTAAATAATTTAAAGGGCAAAACAAAAGATACATGATCAAAAACAAGGAGATAGGCTTTGTGGAGATGGGAAGGGAATCTGGAGATGGGGGAGGCGAGAGAGGGGAAGGGAAGAAGTAAAAAGAATGAAGATATGTGTACATACCAATTCCCCATGATGAGTACAATTATTATGTATTGCAATCACATAGCAATAGAAGAGAAGCTACAAAAAATAAATAAAAATATAGCTGCATTAAGGTCTACCATTTGTAATAATTTTCTATTCGTCACACTTGTTCTTTGCTTATTTTCCCTCCTTTCTCTGGCCATTTAAATAATGTTTATCAATATTATCCCAGTGATTGCTTGAGCAGATAGCCAGCACCATGCCCAGGTCTGTGTGCTGCAAAACACACTTGCTCATACCTGTGCTGAATGAGACAG